ATTCACTTACTAATTCTACAACTCCAGTATAGATGCATAGCAGCAGCAGAATTGTTAACCAGTTCTCTCATGGGTAACAAGGTTTTCAACTAGAGAAGAACTGTAAATATATTTTTTTGGCCTTGTTTTTAAGATAAGGTCTCACTATGTAGTTCAGGCCAGTCTTGAACTCACTAAGTACCCCAAGCTGGCCTCAAACTCACAGCAATCCTCCTGCCTCAGCCTCCTGAGTGCTGGGATTGCAGGCATGTGTCACCACATGGGGCTTTATTTGTATTTATTTTTACAGATTACATTTCCAAAAGGACTTAGGTCAGCATCTTTTCCTTCCACCCACTGAGCAGATTATTTCACTTTTGTGCCACAGTTAGATTGTTTTGCTACATGTATCCTAGGATTCCCCAATTTAACCTGGCTTCTGTTAATTTGCATAATCTAAGACTAATTGGTGCTGTAAAATCCAATGGATTTTGATAAACACATGAAGTATCCACAGTTAAAATGTCATGCACGACACTTTAACCATACTACAGACTTCTCCAGTCAGTGCTCCACTGCTTCAACCCTCTCCTTGCTCCCACCTTCTTTACCCTGGAAAGACTTTGATGTCTTCCTAACTCCTGTGAAACTGCCTCTTCTGTACACATATGAATGTCCTCACCCCTTTTCACTCTATTGTCTTTCAGTTAGCACCGTGCATTGAAAATTCATTATGTCTTTTTTGTGATCATATGAATAACTAAATAATATTCTATTTTATGGATATACCAAATTTATTGATATTTTCTCACAGTCCGTGGATTGTGTTTAGATTCTCTTAACAGTACCTTCCACAAATTGGAATCTTTTTATTTTAATAAAGTCCAACACACCAACTTTTTCTTTCGTGAATCATCCCTTTACGTATCTTAAAGTTCATCACCAAACCTTGGGAAATCTAGCCTCTCTCTTCTGCTATCTTATAGAAGTTTTATCTGTAGTTTTGTGCTTTACATATAAGTCTAGTTAATGTCTACATTGAGTTAGTTTTTTGAAGCATGTAAAGATGCATATTTTGGGTTATTTGTTGAGAAAGCCTCCCTTTCCCCCTTGGATTGTCACTATTTGTCAAAGAGTGACTATATCTCTGTGATTCCCCTTCTGTCACATTGTTCTCTTCCACTTATTTATATGTATGCTCTTTTGCCATTGCCATGTTGTCTTGATTATTATAGCCTTATACTAATTCTTGGAAAATGGCATTGCAAATTTTCAAGCTTTGTTCTTTATCTCCAGTATTCTGTTAGCTATTTCAGGTATATTATTTTCCAATATAAATTTTAGGAATCACTTTATTGATATCTAAAGTTACCTTGCTCATAGTTTATTGGGATTGGCTGAAATTGTATATTAAGTTGAAAATAAGTGACATCTTAAAATTATTGAATCTTCCAATCCAAGAACACAAAATGTTAGGTTTTTCTTGATTATGTTCATCAGAGAGTTATTGTTTCCCACATAGAGATCATGTACTCTGTTGGCTTTAGAGCTCAGCATTTCTTTTTGAGGGAAGTATTTTAAATATTTTTTTAAATTTGGAATTCCAACTCTTCACTGCTGGTATATAAAAAAGCATTGATTTTTGTATATTGACCTTGTATCCTGTGGCCTTGCAATACTCACTTATTGGTTCCAGAATTTTTTGTTGTATTGGTGATTCTTTGAAATTTTCTACATAAACCACATGTCATCCACAAAGACAGTTCTTTCCTTCCTTCCTTATTTGTATAACTTTTATTTCCTTCCATTGTCTTATTACACTAGCTAAGATTTTCAGTACTATGCTGGATAGGAAAAAAGTGAAAGACAACATCTTTGCTTTATTCCTGATGTTAGGGAGAAATCATACACTTTCCACTATTATGATATTAGCTGCAGGTTTTTGTAGACTTTTTATCAAGTTGAAGGACTTATCCTCTATTCTTAAGATATATATATAT